TCTGGTGCTCATATTTAACTTGCTGGCAATTTAGACACCTAGCTACATACTCAACTATGTCCTCCAGGATCGTTTTCCTTAGTTCATCCACATTAGGAGCACACAGACGATCCTGGAGTCGCAGAATACCATATGCACCAATAGTAACTTCCTTGGCACCACCTCGTAGTACCGTTTCTCGAAGAACCATTAAGTGTGGATCATCATACTGGCGAGCCTTGATCTGCTCAAATAGTGAAGATTGAGCTACGACACATGCAAGAACTCGGCTGGGCTCTGAAATATCTAACCGCACAAGTCTGTTGGCCAAGGACTGGATATCCAAAGCTAATGGCCTTTCTTCTGCTGAAATGAAAGCCAAACTACCCATGCTCTCGGCCTTTCTACTTAAGGCATCTGCAACTACATTTGCTTTACTTGGATGATATAGGATAGTAATATCATAATCTTTTAATAATTCCAGCCATCTGTGCTGCCTCAAATTTAGGTACCTCTGCTTGGACAAATGCTGCAAACTGTGATGATCAGTATAAACTTCACAGGACACCCCATAAAGATAATGCCTCCAAATCTTAAGGGCATGAACAATCGCAGCTAACTCCAAATCATGTATCGGATAATTCTGCTCGTGGATTTTTAATTGACGTGAAGCATATGCAATAACTCATCCCTCCTGCATCAATACACAACCCAAACCAACGCGTGAAGTGTCGTAGTACACTGTATACATCTCCGAACCAGAAGGTAACACTAACACTGGTGTTGTAGTCAATGTTGTCTTGAGCTTCTGAAATCTCACCTCACAATCATTAGACCATCGGAACGGAGCACCCTTCTGGTTTAATTTGGTCAAAGGTGCTGCAATAGATAAAACTCCCTCCACGAGCCGACGATAATAACCTGCTAAACCCAGAAAACTCCTGATCTCAGTCACCGAAGTGGGACGATGCCAANTGTCTTGAGCTTCTGAAAGCTCACCTCACAATCATCAGACCATCGGAATGGAGCACCCTTCTGGGTTAATTTGGTCAAAGGTGCTGCAATAGATGAAAAAACTTCCACGAATCGACGATAATAACCTGCTAAACCCAGAAAACTCCTGATCTCAGTCACCGAAGTGGGACGATGCCAATTCTGAACTGCCTCAATCTTTTTGGGATCAACTTTAATACCTTCACCCGTCACAATATGTCCCAAAAATGCTACATACTCTAGCCAAAACTCACATTTAGAGAACTTAGCATATAGCTTTGTTCCTGCAATGTTTGAAGCACTACTTNNGACATTACCAGAAACTCATAATGACCATATCTAGTACGGAAAGCAATTTTCGGAACATCCGAATCTCGAATCTTCAACTGATGATACCCCGACCTCAAGTCGATCTTACAGAATACCCTAGCACCCTGCAACTGGCCAAATAGGTCATCAATACGCGGCAATAGGTACTTGTTCTTAATAGTGACTTTGTTCAATTGGCGATAATCAATACGCATCCGCATTATTCCATCCTTCTTTTTCACAAATAATACTGGTGCACCCCAAGGCGATACACTCGATCTGACGAACCCTTTGGCTAGTAACTCTTCAAGTTGTTCTTTCAATTCTTTTGGAGCCATGCGATACGGTGGGATAGATATAGGCTGGGTATCTGGAGCCAAGTCAATACAAATATCAATATCACGATCAGGTGGCATACCTGGAAGATCTGAAGAAAATACATCGGAGAACTCCCGAACTACCGGCACTGAATCAATAGCCGGAGTCTCTGCAGTAGTATCCCGAACATAAGCTAGATAAGCCAAACAACCCTTCTCAACCATGTGTTGAGCCTCTATAAAAGAAATAACCCGATTAAATGAACTAACCGACGAACCCTTCCACTCCAGCCTAGGCCAAGATAGAATAGCCAAGGTAACAGTTTTGGCATGACAATCTAGAATAACATGATATGGAGATAACCAGTCCATACCCAGAATAATTTCAAAATCGATCATCTCGAGCAATAAGAGATCTGCTCTAGTTTCATAACCACAGAATGTAATAATATAGGACCGGTAGATCCGGTTCACAATAACATAATCGCCTACAGGAGTGGACACATAAACAGGAGTACACAAGGACTCACAAGAAATACCCAGGAATGGAGCAAATAGAGACGACACACATGAATACGTGGAATATGGATCAAATAATACTGAGGCATCTTTTCCGCAAACAAAAATAATACCTGTAATCACAGCATCTGAGGCCTTTGCATCTGGTCTAGCCGAAAAAGCATAGAATCGAGCTGGAGCGCCAACTGGCAGGCCTCTGCCTGGCTGACCTCCACCTCTAGGACGACCCCTACCCATCTGCCCTCCACCCCTTGGTGGTCGGACTACTGGTGGAGCAACTGGTCCAGTAAGCATAGGCTACCCCAAACCAAATTTAAAGAATTTTAAACCTTCAAATAGTTGATTTTTACTAATAAGCGTCAAAACGCTCCCAGGTTATCCAAAACCCGATTCGTACATACTCCCAAGTCCAAAATCATCATACGAATATATTGGAACCGTCAAATCCCGATTCCGAGGTCGTTTTCTCAAAATGTTGACCGAAGTCAAACTTGTCCATTTAAAGCTAACTTAAGGAACCAAGTGTTCCGGTTTCAACTCAAACACTTCCAAATCCCGAACCAACCATCCCCGCAAGTTATAAATTAATATAATCATGTTCGGTGAATTTTATTTTAGGAAACGGGTTTCTAAAAGTTAAAATGACCGGTTAGGTCATTACACGGAGAATCTCATGAATGTAAATTTCAGCTAACCTCTCTGAAAAATAAGTGAATAAGAAAATTGGAGTAAGAACTCATCGCCTATTGAATTATTTTCAACCAAACATTTATTGCCAGCCTTCTCGATTGGATCAGGATATTCACCATGAGTGGTAGGTACTTTCTCACAAAGCTCAATTTTTTGATCAATTGGTCTATCCTCACAAGATGCAGTTTCATTTAAAAGCTCACCACAAAAATTCAAGGAGATTGCCATACTTACTAATTGATTTACTTTCATTGTTAGATCCGTAATGGCTTTATGATTCTGTGTATATTTTTTATCGGTATTTTCTATGAAATTATGCACAGCTTTTTTCAAGTTTACATTCTCCTCTTGAGGCGATTGACTCTCAATATTTTGATTCTTTTGTGAATATTGATTGCACTCCGGATTGCAGTCATATTCACTAGAATCAGTAAGCATGCAAAAACTAGAAACAATATTAGATTGTTCATTCGATAAAGCAAAAGAATAGGAATTGCCGAGTTGGCATTCATGAGTAAGGTAACTTCCACCACAATATTCACAAGTAATGGACCTTTGACTGATTTTATTTATTAATTGTTCAAGGTCATTCATTCTCCTAGAATCCGCATAGGAGAATGTGTTACTTGTTTGGAATTCAAAGCTTTGGTGGTTGCCTCCACAATAGTCACATACGATGGCCTTCTAACAGTATTCTTCTACCAACTCAACAAGCAGTTTACTTGATTGATCGAAATTTATTTGAAAGTACGAGGAATGAGTTGACCTTCAGGGTCCTTTTTTTTTGGTATGGTATTGCTCCCTAGTACTTGTCAGGCACTAGAAAACAAAAGACTTGAAGCTAAAGAAAAATAAATCTCAAAGTAGTAGTAAGACAATTAATCTGAAGTAGATGTTTACCAATCCCCGGCAACGACACCAAAAATTTAACGAGCTCTGGGCGTATATGCTTTTTCTGTTCGTACTCTGTCAAATTATAGTAAAGTTTACGATATCGTCCCACAGAGATTGAACCACCTAGGCTACAGATTTGTATTGTCTTTATCAATATTTGAGAGAATTAAATTGGTGAAAGGAGTTGTTCTTAAGAATGTAAAATAAAAGCAATAAATATTTTTGGTTTTTTTGAAAATAAAAATAGAGGTTGGAATACTTTGAATTAGCAAGATAAAACCATTATAATAAGATCAAATAGCATCGCTCGTGCTTAGTGTTATCAATTTATTGACAGTTAGTGATATTAAATAATAATTGACTAATAACACCTCTTTCGATTAGTGTAGTTAACCAATTAAAGTAATAGCTTCAAGCAAGAATTATTTTAGTTGAGTGCACCAAGTGAGAAAAAAGCCTCTTTCGATTAGCCTTTTCTAAATCTATAAACTTGTTTAAATCTTTCTCTTCTCCCAAGTAAGAAATAATTAACAAGATAAAGATTTTGGTAAGTGTATATAATTATATCAGATAATAGATATAATCAATATCAAATACCTTGGTGTATAAAGATGATAAAGAGAACATCTCAACATATGAAGATAATAAAATTAAGATAATTATTATAACACTTTTATAGCTTCATCTAGTATCCCAACCAAAGAAAATTACTCCATTATGGAGAAAAGATAAACAAGAAAAGTACTATTCCTACGATAAAAGAAATAATTTTTAAGGATAAAACAAAGCCAATATTAAAGTTGGTGTTCTCTGCGCATGAATGGTTTTTTCCACTGAAAAGTCATGCTTGTCATCCTTGGATTGGGGATGACATCCCTAGCTCTTGAATTAATTTCTTCCACTTCTCAACTCTTTCCACGGATGACATTCTTAGAATTGAGGATGACATCCTTGGATTGGGGATGCCATTCATGGCCTTTTTGATGTCTTTGCTTGAACACTCTTCTTTCTTCTCTTTTTCTTTTATTTTCTTTTCCTGCAATATTTATTAATAATTTGTACAGTTATTGAACAAAAAGTCATATCTATAAATAAAGTATTTATTTATTTAATATAATATATACCTAAAAACATACATAATATATACTTATCAAGTTGTCCTAGTAGTACCACAAGTGGATCTGGTGGAGGATCCTATTATTGAGGAGTAGGATGAGGTACCTGTAGCTGAGCCGGTCCCAATAGATTTTATGACTGCACCGGGCTTTCAGGAGGTCATGGGTCATATGTCGCGGTTCATGGATTATATGACTCAGGCTGGACTATTCCCAACAGATTCGGCCACATCTCAGGCGGGAGAGGGAGCATAGACCCCTACTGCTCATGCTTCCGGGGACGCTGCTGTCGTTTATTAGACCCTAGGTGCACTGCCTGGGGGCGGCGCTCAGCCGGTTGTAGCGGTTCAGGAAGAGACCAGATCAACCGCGACCATTGAGGAGCTGAAGCGACTGGACAAATAGACTAGGCTTCATACTCATGTCTTTAGCAGTGGAGAAATTAGAGGACCCCCGGGATTTCATAGACCGTTGTCGGGAGAGGCTGCATAATATGGGGATCGTGGAGTCCAACGGGGTAGACTTCACCATATTTCAGCTACAATGGAAGGCCTGTAGATGGTGGCGGTCTTATCTCTAGAGCAGGCCAGCCGGTTCATCTCCCTTAACTTGGGATCAGTTCACATACCTATTTTTGGAGAAGTATATTCCACCTTCATAAAGGGGGAGATACGAGGTCAGTTTGAGCAGCTCTGACAGGGTCAGATGTCTGTGACCAACTACGAGACGAGATTCACTAACTTATCTCTTCATGCAGCTATCATACTCCCCGCAGATGCGGAGAGAGTGCAGAGGTTTATTAAAGGTTTATACCCTGAGATTCTGGTTTCTATAGCCCAAAAGGTAGAGATGGGGACTCTATTAGTCCAAGTTATGGAGATAGTTCAGAGGATCGATATTATTCGCAACTAAAGCAAAGAGTTCATGTCAAGGGATAAGCGGCCTCCGCATTTTGGTAGATTCAATGGTGCCCCGTCTAGGGGTAGGGGTCAGATCATGAGGGGCCATCCTAGCAGGCCCATGCATTCAGCACCACAGCCTACTCGGGGTGCACCAATGCGTTACTACTTCAGGGTTATTCCAAAGAGTACAGAACATCCGCCAGCTATTTAGGGTTCCTCCAGTGGGTATTCAGGTTATCAGGGTCAAACTATGAGTCAACAGTTTCCCACTCAGAGAGGTTGTTTTGAGTAAGGGAATTGGGCCACATGAAGTGGTTTTTTCCCAGACTTCGGTGTAAGGCAGTGCAACATGACCACCATCCCATGATTACCGCACTGCCCATCCGTCCGTCCAGAGGCGGATGAAAGGTGGGTAGGGATCGCCCTAGAGGTTGAGGCAAGTCAGGTGGCGATCTATGCCTTCCCATCCATACCAGAGGCAGCCGCCTCTGACACAGGGATCACATGTATTATTTATATCTGTCGTAGAGATGCTTCGATACTATTTGATCTAGGGTCTACCTATTCCTATGTCTCTTATCTATATGCTCCTTATCTGTATATATCTTGTGAGTCCTTGGGTATTCCTATATATCTGTCCATGATATCATGTGATTCTGTTATTGTGGATCGGGTTTACCGGTCCTATGTAGTGACTATTTTTGGATATGAGACCAGATAGAATCTTCTATTGCTCGATATGATTGACTACGATGTTATCCTGGGCATGGACTGGTTGTCTTCGTACCATGCCATTTTCGAAGGTTCATCTATTGTACATCCAGTCGAGTTATTTCTTTCTTGAAGGCTCGACATATGGCCGAGAAGGGTTATATGGCCTATTTGGCCTTTGTTCGAGTTACTATTATGCAGACTCCCATGATAGATTCGGTGTCAATGGTGCGGGAGGTCTCCGTTGTATTTCTTGCTGACTTACCAGGAATGCCACCAATCATGACATCGATTTCGGCATTGATTTGACACGAGATACTCAGCCTATCTCTATTTTGCCTTATCTCATAGCTCCAGTGGAGTTGAGAGAGTTGAAGGAGAAGCTTCAGGAGTTGCTCTAGAAGGTATTCACCAGGTCGAGTGTGTCGCCTTGGGGTACACCGGTATTATTTATGAAGAAGAAGGATGGGAGTATGCGGATGTGCATTGATTACCGCCAGCTAAACAAAGTCGCCATCAAGAATAAGTACCTATTATCGCGCATTGATGATTTGTTTGATCAGCTACAGGGTGTTAGAGTGTTTTCGAAGATTGATTTGACATCTGGATATCATTAGCTAAGGATTCGTGCTTCAGATATTTCGAAGATGGCTTTCCGGACTAGATATGGGTACTATGAGTTCCTAGTGATGTCATTCGGTTTAACTAATGCCCTTGCGGCATTTATGATTTGATGAATCAAAGTGTTCAGGCCATATCTTGATTCATTTGTCATTGTTTTTATTGATGACATATTGATCTACTCGTGTAGTATGGAGGAGAACAAGCAGCATTTGAGGATAGTGCTTCAGACCTTACAAAAGCTATATGCTAAGTTCTCCAAGTGCGAGTTCTAGATAGATTATTTGGCTTTCTTGGGGCATGTTGTATCAGGTGAGGATATTAAGATGGACCCCAGGATGATTGAGGTAGTTCAGAGTTGGCC